ACCCTGTGAGGTAGGTGGGGCTGAGAGAGCTCTTGACAGAAACTGCTCTTTTTTCAAGAACAGCTCTTATCAGAACTATGGCTTGCCCAAGGTCATCCAGCCAGGTGCAAGTGGAGTGGGGAATCAAACCCGGTTCTTACCCAAACTGGTAAATCCTCAAATTCGCGGGTACCACAAATACATAGACAATGGGCCAAAGGAGTCTGATTGAATTGGCCCTCCAAAATTGCTGTTGGCATTGATTGAAACCATAGAGAGGTAAAGGACGCTCTGAGTCTGTGTTTATAGATATTAACCAAGTATGGAGTTCTAGTGTGGTCTGATTTAATTAATTTGTACCTTGGTGCTGCTTTTGATGCCATCAATGTGTACATAAAAACATACTGTTTTTAACTTTTGGCCCACTATTAGTTTTTTTAAAAACTTCCTTAGGAGGCTTGTGCTTTGTTGGTTTAGATTCCCCCCCCCTCTTTTTTGGGGTGCATCATTACTGACATTTATGCGTACATCGAACAAAGGATTTTCTCCGTCTTTCTTATTTTCGTCAGCACTTTTGGATTTCTGGGGAACGGCTTTGTCATCTGGCTTTTGGGCTTCCGCATGAAGAGGAATCCTTTCACCATCTACATCCTCAACTTGGCTGTGGCTGATATTGGAGTCCTCATATCCATGGCGATGTTTTTCGCCGTGGGACATCTCCTTTCGACATCCATCTGCGAGGAGCTCATCATATTCACGTACAGCGCCGGCCAGTTCCTCCTAACCGTCATCAGCATTGACAGGTGCATATGCGTCCTCTTCCCATTTTGGCATCAGCTCCACCGACCGGCTCACTTGTCTGCCACGGCGTGTGCCGTCATCTGGGTCCTCTCCTTCCTGCTCAGCGCCATTCACTTCATACTCCTCCAGACTGGAAACCCGGGGAAAAAGAACCACCTCATGTTCTTCCAGTTTTTTGTCAATGTCCTGCTTTGTGTCCCGTTCATGATCATCTCCGCTCTGACCCTCTTCGTCAAGATGTTTCTAAAGCCACAACAGCGCCGGCGAGGAAGGCTTTTAACGGCCATCTTTGCTACTCTTCTCTTTTTCATCGTCTTTGCTTTCCCGCTGAATGCCATTTACTTGCTCTCCAGGTTGACCCAAAATGCTGATTCCACTACCATGCGGTATGGATTGCTATGCGCCTCGCTCAACAGCAGTGTGAACCCGCTGATTTATTTCCTTGTTGGGAGAAAGAAGAAGAAACAGACGAGAGGGACCATGAAGGTTATCCTCCAGAGATTATTCGAAGAGGAATAAAGCTGTGAGCAATTGGAACTCCCAGTTATCATACGTCAATCAGACGCAATGCTTCCAATGTTATGAATGTAAGAAAGATCCACAGTGGTGCGCAAAATTATTCTGTATCATCATATTGATATTTTTTTTTAAAAAAATGATTTGATGGTGGCTTACACGCATAGCATTCAAATAGAGGAGAATACACTAAGGTAGATCCTAGCCCATAAGAATATAACCCATTCCTCCGGACAATCTGGGCGAGGGGCCAATATGGGCAAAGACAGAGGTCCTGTGCCTGGGTCGGGGTGGTATGGGATTGGGGCTCCCACTCCCGGCCTTCGATGGGGCACTTTTGGTGCCAGCTTCAGAGGTTAGGAGTTTGGGAGTGCTCCTGGACCCCCACCTTAACGATGGAGGCCCAGGTGGTGGCCACTGCCAAAGCAGCCTTTTATCATCTACGGCTGGTGCGGCGGTTGGTTCCCTTCCTTAGCCGCGGTGATCTGGCCACAGTGATCCATGCAACGGTCACCTCGAGGTTAGACTACTGTAACGCTCTGTACATGGGGCTGCCTTTGTCGCAAATTCGGAGGCTGCAGCTGGTGCAGAATGCGGCGGCCAGGTTGGTAGCGGGTGCCTCTAGATGGGACCACATCCAACCTGTGCTGAGGTATGTTATATTCTTATGGGGAATATAACAACATAAGAGAAGTCATTGGATCAAGCCAATGGCCCATCCAGTCCAACACTTTGTATCACGTAGTAGCCAAAACCCAGGTGCCATCGGGGGTCCACCAGTGGGACCAGAACTCCAGAAGCCCTCCCAAGAATACAGAGCATCACTCCCCCAGACATAGTTTTCCATCTATACCATGTGTCTAATAGCTACTAATGGACCTTGGCTCTGAAGAACATAAGAGAAGCCACGTTGGATCAGGCCAATGGCCCACCTAGTCCAAGACTCTGTGTCACACAGTGGCCAAAAATACCAGGTGCCATCAGGAGGTCCAGCAGTGGGGCCAGAACCCCAGAAGCCCTCCCACTGTGCCCCCCAAGCACCAAGGATACAGCGTATGACTGCCCCAGATATAGTGTTCCAGCAAAAGTAAAGGTAAAGGTTTCCCTTGCTCGAAAGCCAGTTGAAGGCCCTGGTCACACGGGCCAGATAATGTGAGGGGGAGGCATGGCTACTTGTACCGCCACAATTTAATCTGCCACTACCTGATCCGACGCTGCGGTGGCGGACCGGGGTTGTTTCTGGTGGCGCATGTTTCCGGCGTGCTTCAATGCGGCAAGAGGAGTGTGCTGGAGCAATCAGACGGAGGAAGTCCATCTGTGGTCCGTCACAAGCATTTGATAGTGGACTTTCAGATACTTTTTAACTCTGGATCTTCGGCTGGATGAGACGGGTTGGCTACGGGTGCGTGACGCTTGCCAGATGTGCCTGTTTCATCTCACCCGTAAGACCTGCCCGGCATCCGTGAGTATCCCACGGCAACTTCGGCAGGTGACCGGGACCGAATATACCTTGTGGCTACTAGCCACTCATGGACCTTTGCTCCATATATTTATCCCCTCCTCTCTTGAAGCTGTCTCTGCTTGTCCCAACATCCTCCAGTTCCTCGGAACAAAGTTAGAAGCCTTCCTCCAGCCTAAGGATCCTTCTTCCAACTTGTAGCTTTTCTGTTGGAGGAAGAACCCCTTAACCTGGTCAGCTAGATTTGAGTCCAGTAGAACCTCAAAGACCAACAAAAAATTGGGGGGGGGTATATGCTTTTGGGAGGCGAAGCTCCCTTTAGCTGGTGGTATCTGACAAAGGGAGCTCTAACTCTTGAAAGCTTATACCCCAAAAATCTTGTTGGTCTTTAAGAAGGAGAGATTGGATTTATACCCCACCCTTCACTACCAGAAGGTGTCTCAGAGAGGCTCACAACCCCTTTCCCTTCCCCTCCTCACAGCAGACACCTTGTGAAGTAGGTGGGGCTGAGAGATTTCTTTCTAGAACTGCCCTTGAGAGACAAGCTCTGAAAGAACTTATGACTGACGCAAGGTCACCCCAGCAGCTGCATGTGGAGGAGTGGGGAATCAAACCTGGTTCTCCCAGATTAGAGTCTGCGCTCATAACTACTACACCAGACTGGCTCCCCAGGTGCTACTAGACTTGAATCTGGCTGTTCTACTACAGACCAACATGGCTACCCTGTAAAACTGAGCTGGACAAAGGCTCCTTAGGCTGGAGGAAAGGTACTTGTAGGATGGTTGGATGAGGAATTATCACAGTAGGAAAAAGGGATTAAAACAAAAGATCTTTTGTTTTAGTCAATGTCCCAGAATCTACAGATGTGCAGGTTTGCCCATGTATTTCCCATCTTGTTTTGGAAGTCTGGTCCTCCCTTATTCTAAGTCAGGGGATCTCTACATTGTTTCCAGAAGATGGCATGTAGCTTGCTGCAGTTTTTCAAAATGTCATCTCTTGTGCACTTTTCCCTTTCATCCGACCCATGGTCTTGTGTACAGTGAATATATATTTCAACCACCCTAAAAAAGAGTCAATCATTCATCTTATTGCTTCAATATGCAGGTATCTTTGCTCAACCGTTTACGTACTCCTGTTCATTGGTAGAATTGTTTATATAATTGTACACCAAAGTTGCTCTTTCTCAAGTCAACACAGATTTACATTTCAGTAAAATAAAGAGAGAAGAGAGAAGAGGAGATTGGATTTATACCCTGCCCTTCACTACCCAAAGGAGTCTCAGAGCAGCTTACAAACTCCTTTCCCTTCCCCTCCCCACAACAGGCACCCTGTGAGGTAGGTGGGGCTGAGAGAGCTCTGACAGAAATTGCTCTTTTGCGAGAACAGCTGTGCCAGAACTATGGCTTGCCCAAGGTCATCCAGCAGGTGCAAGTGGAGGAGTGGGGAATCAAACCCGGTTCTCTCAGATTAGAGTCCATGCACTTAACCACAGCATTCCGTGCACCTTGGTGTTTAGTCATGCCGGCCACATGACCACGGAAACGTCTTTGGACAGTGCTGGCTCTTCGGCTTTGAAACGGAGATGAGCACCGCAACCCTAGAGTCAGATTCGACTGGCTTTCGAGCAAGGGAACCTTTACCTCTTTTACTTAACCACTACATCAAACTACCTCCTGCTAAAGAAGACGAAGAAGAGATTGGATTTATACCCCGCCCTTCACTACCCTTCTTCTTCTTCTTCTTCTTCTTCTTCTTCTTCTTCTTCTTCTTCTTCTTCTTCTTCTTCTTCTTCTTCTTCT